TACTCTAAACAGAAAGACCTCTGAGAGCCAGTCCACAATGTGAACATCACATTCTGAAACAGGATTTCCCATGGGGTGATGAAAAACAACAAACAACTTAGGCCTACCTTCTAGAAGGTGCCAGTCAGTCATGATATATGGACAAGTAAGACTTCTTGTTTTGATATAATAATTCATAATCATAACATCCATAACAATAGCAGCAAAAAATAATGATCTGTTTCATTATAGGCATCTAAAGAGCATTTTGAGCTTTTCAAAGCACTTTGATATACATTATTGCCTTTGCCTCCAGGCCTGTATCTCAGGAAGGATGATGAATGATTAAACTGAAGAGAAGGAACAAAATGATGAATTTAAAAAATGAATGAAGCATTTCAAGAGAATAGCATGAAGACAGTGAATTAAATTCCTTTCATCAGTACTAAGAAGTCCCTTTAATCCTGAAGTCCAGGTGAAATCAGATAGTTCTCAAAGGTAAAGGAAATCTGCTACTCTCTCCTGAGCTGCAGATGTATATATCCCCATTACCTGCTATTCATCTTCATCTCCAACACAACATATTCAAACCTGAATTCATTCTCTGTCCAATATCTGCAGAAAGTGGGTCTACCACTCCTCTCTCAATAATCTAAACCAGACCCTTAGGGTGCCATTTTAGATTCCCTTCTCCCATCCTCATGTTTTTGGATTCCCATATGAGTCTGTCTAGGCTCCAGTGTAACTGGCTAGAAGTCTTGCTCTGAACTCTACCCTGTAGGCTAGGACGCTCTATAGCCAAAGTCTTAACATTTTCCTCTCTAAGGGTTGGATTCTGCTCCTAGTGCCCCAAAGACTGACCTGATCAATGACTTATTAGATCTGGTGGAAACAGAATACTGAATATCCCCATCTTTCCTTGACAATTGGCCCCTGGTATCTTCTTGAGGAACACTTCTGCCAACCCTCTGCCTGCTCTTAGCATATGCTTGGTAAACTATATTCTGCCACCAGTGCCTAGCACAAAATGTGGCACACAGAGAGCACTTGGTAACTATTTGATGAATAGGACTGACACAGACTCACTCTCACCTGGTCTCCACAGTTAACATCAAATCCCACCCTCAAGTGGACACTTGCAAGCAGAATTCCTCAGGATTAATTAACACTCCATCAAACCATGTGGTTTAGAGACCATGGTTATTGGTTAGAGGCTTAGCTCTAAGCACTTAAATGATTTGTGACCTTGACCCAATAATTCTGAGACTCGGTCTTCCTCCCATATACCTCTCAGAGCAGCCTGTAGGATCAAGTTCTAAAACAAGCATATCACCGAGGGGACATGTCATCGTGTCATGGTGTATCAGTGGCTCTCATATTTCAGTGTGTAGCAGCATCACCCTGAGATTTCTAGGCCTGACCCTTGGAATCTCTGATGTAACAGATGAGGAGTCTGGATCTGAGAATTTGCACTTCTAACAAGTTTCCATGTGATACTTTTCTTAACTCCTTTAGGATGCTGTTACAGAACACCATAGACTGGGTAACTTGTAAGCAACAGAAATTTGTTTTTTACAGTTCTAGAGGGGAGAAAATACAATGTTAAGGCACTAGCAAGTTAGATGTCTGGTGAAGATCTACTTTCAGTATTCCAGACTCAACTTCTCACTGTGTCCCCATATGGCAAAGGAGCAAGAAAGCTCTCTGAGTCTGGTCTATAAGGGTGGGAATCCCATTCTTGACCTAATCACCTCCTGTGGGCTCTCACCATATAATATCATCACACTGAGGATTGGGTTCCAACACATGAACTTTGGTGGAAAATTCAGTCTCTAGCAATACTAACAGATTGCTAGAGACCAGGGACCACACTTTGACAACAATGGCTCTAGATGATTCTATGAACATTGCTCCTTGCATACTGACCCTGTTTTCCTTCATGAAATATGATTTTCAATACTCTACTCTGTGTTTATGTTTTACCCCTTTTGCTACTTTGCTGGTTTTAACCCAGCCTGTAAATTCCTCTGGGCAGAAATTATACCTTCCACATTCCACGCTCTCTTTTTCTGTTTTGCAAAATAATGAGTACATTTCCAGTGTGGTTAATAATAGAATATAGAATAGGGAAAGGGACAAAATTTCAGACTGTGTTTGCCAGCAAAGAGCATCCACAAATGGATATCAGCTCTGGAATTCTCTTAAAAATTAATTACAAAGCCAAGAACATTCTGCCATTAGTGGCAATGGGAGAAAGAAGATTATTTTCTTGATGACACATTTCATAGAATGTGAGTTATTCAAGATTTGAGCTGTAACTTACTTAAACACCAACATTTCTTCTAATATAATCCCACAAACAGCACTCTAAGTCATAATTTTTATAATGATAGTCAGACTATTGTGTTTTCAACATGCAAAATCCATTACACAGTCATGACAACTGTTTGCAATAGACTGTAAATTTTTATTGAGATGATCATCTTGTGATTGAATTTCAAAAAGTAATTATATGATCATCAGCAAATAAGTCCAGAGGGGCAGTTAAAGTACTTTAAATATCATTTATAAAGATCAAAACTCCTGAAAACCCTTACATTTAACTCATGGAAAGAGACAAGTCTCATCAGCAGGATCAAATCAATGATTTTATGGATGACTATTGCATTGCAAAGCTGAGATAAGGTATTACCTGGCTTCATAACATACCCTTATGTCCTTTTAAAATAGTAAGTTTCATAATCAGGTTTCAATGAGAAATTTTAAGGCCTATTTTGAACATAATCAAGAAAACGCCATTTCTGTTCATCATGGTGGTTCATTAGCCTTCAAAGGATATTTCCAAGCCATGGAAATATTTACTATCCTTGGCTTACATACTATGGGATGCACTACTGAGATATTTAGGAATGGATATAGTAAATTCCTGCATAATGTTTTGTTCTGTTTTGTTTTGTTCAGTACTGGGGATTGAACCCAGGCATTCACTACTGATATATATATAGTAGAGTGATAGTTATATGTATATATGTCCTACATCAGCCTCCTGAGTAGCTGAGATTATAAGCATTTGTTTTTGAATCAATAATCAATAGCACTTGTTTTTGAAAACTCAAATTTGTTCCCAAATTAATCTATGAGGAAGTAATTTAGGTATATCATGAATTCTACGTTCCATTATGTGTGAGTTTTTATATAGTGACATGAAAAACTGTACCCAGCTAAACTAGGCCATACAAAAATACACAAAAAGGCACACATCCCTCCATCTCAACATTTACCTGCTCCCTCAGTTCTCAACATGTGTTATAAATCACACCCATTCCTACCTGGTAGTATATCTATCAACTTCAAATGACCTTTCTCCAAGACTTCACAGCAACTCACAGGCTGCAACCTTTCAGATTCCTGTCCCACAAGCAAACTTCAGGTCTTTTTCCAGGTATCTACTATGTGTATTGTAAATTTATGCATTCCTTAGCTATTTAACATGTGTAAAACTGTGCCACCATTTTTACTCAGTTCTTTTCTTTTGTATGTGTTAGCGGGTAAGTATGGGTGCCCCTTGGCCCATTTCTTTTCATGAGTCCACAAATTTATTGCATAATGCATCAAGCTACAGTGTCTTTTAGGGACACATATTTCAGTTATAACAGAACTGACATACTTTGATTTTTGTTCCATGTTGCTGTACTGACGGATTCTTTATAAGTACACACTTTACCTGCACCCTAGAATCTGTCAGTATCTCCTCTTCCCTAGGAAGCCCATGCTCTCTGCTTCCCTGACCACACCCCCCAGCTTACCAGCCCCTCCTCTGTGTACCATGCTAACAGCATCTACTTCTCTATTTATTCGTTGTGGTCTGGCCAAAGAGCAAAGTCACTAGATTCAGGAAACCTGGGAGCAAATCTTGACTATGGCACTGGCTAATACTATAACTTTAGACAAAATCTTTTAAAATACTGAGCTTCTTCTATTCTTTCATGCATATATGAGATAAAAGTACTTATGCTAAATGATTAGAGTAAAAAGAATAGATAATGTGATTTGCAAAAGGTAAACATGAACTTCTTTTAATTTCCTAAGTTAAATTCAGAGCCAAGACCTTCTCTGTATACAGTCTTAGCCAAAGCCTCTTGTTAGAAACACAGTTAAAGCCAGGAAGCCTTGAGAACACAGCTGGATCCAAAGAATCTTCCCAGATGCAGCCCCAGCCAGCAAACTCTTAAGCAACATCCAGAAACATCGGAGCAGCAGTTGGAATCAGAAGCCCATAGAAACACAGTAGAATCCAGAGGACCCTCAGAGTAACATTCCCAACTCAAACTCTTAGGTAGAAACCAGGAGCCCCCAGAGGATACAGAGCCAGGAAGCTTGCAGGGACTAAGGTTGTTCTAGAATTAATTTAGAGATATTGTCAGAGCCAGGAGGCACTGAAGCCACAGTTGTTACCCAGAGTCCCTCAGAGACAAAACTAGAACAGGGAACCATCAGCAAAATGACCAACTCCAAGGGTCACAGTCCCACCCAGGGATCCCCAGGGACAAAGCTGGACTTAGATACATATAAGATTCATGCCTAGAACCAGAAACTGCCACGAGTGTAGTCCTAGTCTACATGAGGCCTTTAAGGAGGACAGAGCCAGGGGGCCACAGAGAAAACAGAGCCAAGAGCCCTCAGAGACATTATTATTAGCGCTAGAAAGCCCCAGACGACAAATGCTGCCAGGAGTCATCACAGCCAGAACTACAGAGCCAGCATCCCACGTGAAAATTGTCAGGAACAGCTGAAGACACGCTCCATAATACACCTCAAGTCAAGAGGGTCTTAGAGTCACAGTCAGAGCCAGAAGGTTCTCTACGGAAGACCCAAATTTTGACTGTTTGACTCCACAATAGGAAGCACATTCACATCAAAGAAATGTACAGACAACGTGTCACCAGAAGACCGAAGGAGGACCAGCCACAACAACAGGCCAGTACTTCCCTTCCCACTGGGCCCTGGAAGGAGGCTCTTACCGGCACACTTGGTCCTAGTGGTGAGGGGAGGCCCTGGAGGTCCTGTTCCCCCTTCCCCTGGCCTTGTAAGCAGCACTCGGATCTCATACTCCACATCGGGGTCCAGATGCCACAGCTTATAGTTAGGAGAGTCAACGATGTGGGTCTCGGCCCAAGTGCCTGTGGTGGTGCGGTACTCCACCTCCTTCAGGATGATGGGTCCATCCCCAATGATGGAGTTGGCATTTGGCTTGATCCACAGGTAGGTGGCCCCCACCGCCAGCAGCTCCGGGGGCGCGATGGGCGTGGGGGGCTCTGCAAGGCAAGCAACAAGCAGAGGACTCAGTGTCAAATGCTTCGGAGAGAAGAACTCCGGCTAAGGAACAGAGTTCCAGATACAACTGTGAAAAATGGCCAAAATCTCATGATTAGTCCCATTCCCATCCTATTTCAATGTTCAAGATTTTGTCTATAGATAAATGAATCAGTATTTCATCAGTAACTTTAGTCAACCCCTACCATTCCTCTTTCAATTAAAGAAAGAAAAGAAAAAAGACAAGGTGAGGAGACGGTTTTCCCAAACCATAGCAATCTATCTAAGGTAATACTCTGCTTTCCACCCCAAAAGGAGAATTGCCTTTACTAAGTGAAGCTTGGCTTAAAAGCCAGGGGAGTCTGAGATTATAAACATTTTTTATACTAGAATACAGACATACCAGTGGAAGCCCTCCCAAATGGTGATATACACTTAGGTAGGAAAAGGATGATGGTACAGAAAGAATTCAGCTTCTTCCTTCACCTGACAGGTTTCTTCCAGAAGAGAGAGTATCATTGACCAGAGTGGACCCAGTAGGAACTAAGGGTCAAAGAAAAAGTCCTGCTGAGTTAGCTAGTATCTGCCGTGCATTGTTGTCTCCTTTCCACTAAGTTCCATGTAGTCAGCACAAAAACCCCAGAATTCCAACAGGTATTTGTGGTGACCACTTCCTGGCTATCTTTCACCTATTGGCAAAGCAGTAGAAATCAGGCACTTCTCTGATATTTCTTATATACCAGGAAATTCCAGATGTATTATTTCACATAATTCTTGGGACATTACCACATCCATGTCACTGGATAAAAATATGAAAACCCAAAAGATCAGGTCACCAACCAAGGCCATGCATAGGACAGGTAATGCAGGATCAAACGCCACATCTGCATGCCCTCCCAGGTCAGCTATCCTCCTTGAAGACCATTTGCTTCTTGATGTTCATTTCTTACAAAAGTAAAATTGGATATGTTTCTTATTCTGATTTGTAGCACAGGCGTGGAGGAGTGGAGGACTAAAGACAATGAAAAGAAACAGAAAATATGTCTTCTTCCTTACCACCCAATATAACAGCCATTTCTATTTCTCCATGTTTCATTCTCATATTTATTCATATACTTATATTTTTCATGTGGTTACAAATAACACAGAGACCCAATGTAGATTTGTTATTTGTTTGTTTCACTCTCACTTATTACACCTTAATTGTTGTGGTTTGCATCTGACTTGACCCCTAAAACTCTCGGATGCTCAGAGATGAGGCTTTTGGAAGGTGGTTGGATTGAGTTGGTGGATTAGAGTGCTGTACTCACTAGAGGATTCATCCATTGGTGAGTCCAGCAGACAAGTGTGCTGTTGTGAGGTGGGGCCTGGTTGAAAGAGGCAGGTCACTGGGGTATGACCAGGAAGGGTAAATCCTCCTCCATGGCTCTTTTCTTGTCTCTCTGCTTTCTGGCCTCCATGAAATAAGCAGCTATCCTCCACAACAGGCCCTTACACTATGCCATTCTACCTCGGAGCTAAGCTGAATCAAGACTGTAACCATGAGCGAACACAAACTTTTCCTCCTTTAAGTTGTGAATGTTGTGTATTTTGTCCTAGTAACAGGAAAGTTACTAAGACATTAAAGATTTTGTTTGTAAACTACACAGACTTTGCTATCACTGTCTTTAGTAACTACAGAACAGTCCATCAAGTTATCATACTAATTGGTGTCCAATTGTTGGACCCATGAGTTGTTCTAAATTTTGCTATGGTAAATAATGCTGCAATGAACATCTTTGTGCAAATGATTTGTCTTTTTTGTTTGATATGTTCTGAGAACAAATGCCAGGAATGGGATTATCTGTCAAAAAGTGTGAACAACAAACACTAACTCCTAAAGTAAAATAAGGAAGTAGAGTAAGGGAGATATTTGGATGTGCAATACACTGTAGATTTATTCAAGAACATGTTACTATTTGTGAGGCTCTGGAATAATCACATGGAGAAAGGCATATCTGAGTTTTGGTTTGGAATTCAGGTGAGGGCTTTGGGATAGAGATTTATTCAGCATTTTTCTTCTAACTAATTACCTAGTAGTGAAGATTCTCCAGAAATAGAATAATTTGCTATAAAACAGGGATGGACAATATTTTCTCAGTGTGACTCAAAGCAAATCTTAAGGGACAACTTCAGCTTGCCTCTATTACAGCCTGCCAATTGGTCAGAGAGGAGAATTAAGCAGATTAGTCAAGCTAGGTGCTTTTCTTTAGAAAGCCATGGAGGTTATTACTCAAGACCTTGTTATCTCAAAGGTGTTTGCAAATTGATTTTTGGATAATTTGTTCCAGGTAGAGAAGTTAAGTTGGCAGGCAGATAATTTCTGGGCTCATCCTTTGTGCATTTTAAATATATAGACCCTTTGATCACCATTATCAACTTTCTAGAGTTCCCATAAGTCTCCAGTGAGGCCTCAAGGGTGATATTTTGTAGCTCTGTGATGTTACTGCCTAATTCCTTAATATAATTATTCACCGACTGGCTCTGGACAGAATTAAGAACAGCAGACTTTAGTGCTTTGGAGGCCGAGCAAGTAGCCACATTAAGCTCTCTTCAATCGACTTTTCACCATGGTTTGCTGCTCTCCTATTTCAGGCATTAGCAGTTTTCAATTTCTGACCACCGGAAAGAAAATAAAGTATTAATCTTTCCAAATGTTTGGCCTCTTTTCATGTATTTCTAATGGTAGGTACAAGTATAAATAACAAACATCCTCTTGAGTATATGAATGTTCTCATCTCCAGTGACTTGCAGGTTCACAAGTTCACAAGCATACTAGTCATTGTGGTTCTCTCTCTCTCTCTCTCTCTCTCTCTCTCTCTCTCTCTCTCTCTCTCTCCTGCCATACCCTCCAAAATAGATCCTGTAAGTTCATCACCTCCTCTCCTGCTTCTGGCACCAAGAAACCATCAGATTATTGGTTTGTTTTGTTCTCTCTTGTCAGTGATCCACTGATTTAGAATTGGCATTCTAAGTTGTTCATAGAGAAAGAAGCAGGAATGAGGCACAGAATATGAATATTTTTTTCAATAAGCAGCACATCATTTTTAAATGTATGGAAAAATCATGTCTAATTGTATAAACTCTCCTCCATATCTGATATGAGCTCTCCAATAGGCCAATGCAAGAAATGAATGTGGCCACCTAATGCAACTTAGATGACCGGAGTCATCAGGAAGGCAATCAGGGTCCATGGAGGGCTCATGTTCTGTTAAGCCAGAAACGAATGAGGTGGATCAGGATCAGCTGACTGTCCATCCCTTTCTTTTCTTCTGCTGAAGATGTTTATGTAATTAACAAGAAGAGTTATTAAGGACAGTAGTTTTTAACTTTGGGAAGTACATAAGTTCTAAAGATCTGGTGAGAAATTCACTCTTTTCCCATGAAGAATGCACAAAAGCACATAGCCTAAAGCTCTGCACACAATACCAGGAACCCACAGACCCTTCTGAAACCCATGCACAAACCTCTGAGTGGTCTATGTTGAGAGCATACAAAATCTATAGAGAGTCTGCTGACATGACACTTGCCCAAAATATCTGCACCTCTTTGAACTCTGAGCTACCCTTTGTCGTAAGGGGTAGAGGCTGGAAATGCAGTCTTGGAAAAAGAATTGATGTAGGAGTCACAGATTTAGCACTTTCATGCTCCCCAGCTCTCAAATCTTTGGGCAAAATATAAATGATTAAGATTTCCACAACATAATGCCATATAACTATCTAGGTCCCATGATCATAACCTACCCAACATATTCATAGATTTAATATTTGTGTTAAAAATTTAAAGGACAAAGACATGACCCTACCCAAGAAGTGATATAGCCTCAATAGAAAACTTCTACAGAGGCCATATTTTCAAGTCCACCTTTCTTTGCATGAAGGGCTTTATCTGATAATTTGGGGTCTTTCAGTGAACAATCTGGGAGAGAGAACTCTCTGTGAAAGAAACCCTAACCACCATGTACCTGTGCATCTCATGTGCTCATCAGAGCACTGAGTGGCTGGAACTTAGGGATGAAGAGATATGCAGACTCTCTGTGGCATGGAATCAGTGGGTAAGGGAGTTGAGTGAAGCAGCAATGACAAACTGGAATGAAGATCATGCTGGAGATGACAAAGTAGTCACGGGGCCTTGGAAGGAACCTACACTGGTTTAGAGGTTAGGGAAGGTCTTTCAGAGAAAGCTTTGGGAGTGGTTTAGTGGGGCAAGACATTCACATTAAGTCTGTGAGCAAAGAAAATTCCCTAGGGGTTCTGAAGTTCTGCATTGCTTAGGATGGCACTGCCTAGGAACAGATGGATAAACAGTTCAAACTCTGTGCTCCTAACATATTCATTCACTCATGCACTCATTCCACAGACATCGAATACATGTGACATGTCACACACTGTCCTAGTCACAGACATAATCCTGGCTACAAGGAGCCCACATTCAAGCCTTCCTCAAGGACTAAGACAAGGAGCCTGGAGTGAGAGGAGAGTTGTTGAAAAGGAGAATTTGGGAGGATGGGGAGGTCCTGAGAGCCAAGCATAGGGGATGCTGCGAGTCAGCAAACTGATGCACACCCATACAAAAGAATACAACTCAGAAACAGCCAACACACACACCAAAATGGACACACCTCAAAAAATTAGTTTATGCAAAAGAAGAATACACAATGATTCACTTCCATGAAAATTTCAAGAATAGCCAAACTGTTCTGTGGTGATAAAAGCCAGAATATAGTTTCCTATTCAGCAGGTACTGACTTGGATAAGCACAGGAAATTCCTGAGGTGTTGGAATGTTCTACATATTGATTCATATGATTAAATAATGGAAACCAGACAGAATTACTTCTTGTGGGACAGAATGCCTGGAAGGGGGCAATGGAAAAATTTAGGGGGTTTAAAAGTTGCTGCATTCTGATAAGGACTGTGTAAAACTTACCAAAAAACTTATTTAAAATACAGATATTTTGCTCT